TTGCGCCCCCCCCCCCAGCAAATACCCTGCCACACCACCCCGAAGAGGAACGCGGCAGCCCGCCCCATCCAGCCTCACCCTCCGCTCGGCCGCCGCCTCCGCCAATCGGCGCACGCAGTGGCCGCGGCAGCTGCCCTCGCTCGGGCACCGCGCGCACACCGGCCGCCTTTCGGTGCAGCAGAACCAGTCCAGCTCCCGGGCGTGTTCCGGGCAAATGCTCGCGCTCTCGTGCCCTTCACCGTGGCCTCGTTGGGCCGAGCCCCGCTGGTCCTCGCGATCATCTGGTCCGCTCGGTCCCGGTTCCTGAGCCATGACGGAAGAACTAAAGGAAGGAGCGGCCGAGGCACCTGCTGCTCAGGTGGGCGGAACGGGCTGCCGGGGGAGCCTCGGGCACCGCCCTGCTCGCCTTGAACACGCCCAGCCAGTGTGGAAATCACCGCGCTGCCTCGCTGTAAGGGCTGGCTTAGCACTGGTGTTTGCATGTTCACAGTTCTACAGTCTACATTCGTTGGCCCAGAACTTCCATGGACAGGAACAGTCTAGCCCTAAAAGACCCAGTTCTTTTGGCAAAAGAACAAGCGGCGTTTACCATTATTCTGCATTTGCTTGGGAACTTTCCAGAGACACCAGGCCAGCAAATTTTGGAGACTACATGGACATAACTGACTCAGACCAAAAGTAACGACCATCCTTTTGGTTCTGGTGTTGTGTTGATTTGGCATCAAGGCCAGCTCTGGAATCTGTTTTAAATGCCAGTGTGCCTGAAAGGTATGCAGAAAAATAGCCACAAAGAGCATTTCTGACTTCTGAGTATGGGCAAAGTGCCTCCCTGAAACACTGGGGGGGAAAGGTAATTTGAATGTTAGCATGCGTTTATGCTCTGCATTTGTCTGTCCAGAATATCTGCCAGCATCACCCTGATTTGGGGCTGAATCGATCATTTCCAGGAAAAGTGGATTTCTGCTGAAAATTAACAAATTTAAAAACATGCTACCCACCAAAAGGCCAAATCCAGATCCTCAAACTCTGGGTGGTTTCCTCTTCTGTTTTGGAATGCTGTTGTCCATCAACAGGTTCTTTAAATTAGTTTACCTGTAGTGAGGGGGAGAGGGAAGAAGTTCCAATTTATGATGACTATGAAACTGGGAGATGATCACCCTGCAACTCAGAAGGCTTAGTCTGCGCCCTCTTTTTGCTCTGGCACCTGTCTGGATCTCTGAAGGTCCACCCAGGAAAATGTGTGATGGTGCCTCTGAGCATGTCCTCATTTTAGTTAAAAAGTCATTAAAGGGAGGCTCCATAGAGGATTATAAAATCGGGCATAGTGTGAAGGAAGTGGACAGAGAGAAACTTTTCTCCTTCTCCCAAAGTACTAGAATTCAGGGTCGTCTGATGAAATCGATGGGCAGTAGATACAGGACTTGACAAAAGGAACCTTTTCTTCTCACAGCACATAACTAACCTATGGAACTCACAGCTACAAGGTGTAGTGATGGCTATGAGCAGATAGTTTTTAAAGGGACTACTAGACCAATTAATGGAGGAGGATAAGGCTATCAACAGGTATAGTGTCACTACTGATGTTAAAAACACTAAGGAAACCTGTTGACTATTTATTATTTTCGATTTATATCCCGCCTTGCCTGCATAAGCAGGCTCAAGGCGGCGTACAACAAGTTAAAATACAATAAAACACAGTGCAGAAATGCAGTACCATAAAATTTCACATAAAACAATATACAAGTAAAGTGCAGATCAATATAGATGGCGATTGCTGTACAGTGATCCAGTGTAACCAGGCCAGCATTCATAGTTGTTCTTAATGCTCATTCATCAGTGGCGGCTCCTAGTCGAAAGCCTGGTGGAAGACCTCTGTTTTACAGGCTTTGCAGAATTGTAAAAGGTCCTGCACGGCCCTGATGTCTTCTCGGAGCTTATTCCACCAGTGTGGAGCCGCCACTGAGAAGGCCCTAGCTCTGTTGATGGCCAATCTGACGTCTTTTGGACCAGGGAGAGTCAGGCGATTTTGCAGCCCTGACCTCAGTGCTCTCTGGGGGATATATGGGGAAAGGCGGTCCCTTAGGTAGGCAGGCCCCCGACCATATAGGGCTTTAAAGGTCAAAACCAGCACCTTGAAGCAAATCCGGTATGCTATTGGCAGCCAGTGCAATGCTTTCAGCACAGGTCGGATGTGCTCTTGTATATTTTAGAGGTTTTGCACTAAAATATTATCAGTGGTTTCTCTTCCATTTAAGTCTTCTCTCAAAATATTGTTCTTCTTTCCCTGTATCCATGTGCTGACTGAAGATACTGTCCATGCATCTGATGAAGTGGCTCTAACCCACTAAAGCTGATGCCATAATAAATTGCCAAAAGTTTCCTTCTTGGTTTTGCTGCAACATTAGTCATTCAGAAGGCTGAAACCTTCATGTTCAGAGGCAGCAGGGCTATTTTTGGGCAGGAACGCACAGGAACGGAGTTCCGGCTGGTTTCAGATTTGGCCACACCCACTACAGCCAAAACCTCTGTGTGCGTGGCTACAGAGGGAAGGCCTGGAGAGCGACACACACACCCCCGGTGACTCCGAGGCAGGTGGACCAGGGGGCCCCCTGGAAGGATCTGTCCAAGGGCTGGCTTGTCCGGGCTCTCCACAGGACAGATCCTTCCAAGGGAAGACATGGGGTGTGGCCTAATATGCTAATGAGTTGTGCTGTCAGGGGTGTGGCCTAATATGCTAATGAGTTGTGCTGTCAGGGGTGTGGCCTGTTATGCTAATGAGTTCCTGCAGGGCTATTTCTACAAAAAAAGCCCTGAGAGGCAGTATACCTCTGCTGGGGGGCGACAGCCTTCAGACCTTCTTTGTAGACTTCCTATGAAGTGGCTGCTGTTTCAACCAGGTTGCTGTATGAGATGTCCCTCTGGTGTGACGCAGCAGGGCTCTTTGGTGGTCTCGATGCCTTCTCCATCCTGCCAAATAACCACTGCATGCAAGATCAAAAGAGCCCCTGCCTCTCATTTGGAGCTATGCACAGCCTCCCTTCTCCAAAGTCCCCTACAAAACCATCCATCTAGCTGCAGAGATTGGCGGGTTTGGGGTTGCAAAGAATGTCGTGCAACCAAGGAGCACTGGATCTGAGCCCTGGCTCCTCTTGGTTTGAGAGGGGAAAACAAGCCCTGAGCTCAGTCAGGCAGTCCCTCCCTGGCAGAAGAGTCTCCTCCCCTTGACGGCTGGTTGCCAGGGACGGAGTGGCGGAGGCGCAAAACTGGGAGGATGCAGAACACTGGAGAGATTCAATGGGAGGCGGGCAGGTAAGGACAGGTGGTGGCAGGGAGGGAGAACAGGCCCCCTTCATCCAGCCAGGGGGAGGGGGAATCACAACAAGAGGGCCCATCATCGTAGACCCCTGCAAAACAGATGCCAGAGGGGTTCTCCTCGCATGCCCACTGTCTTGCCCAGGTTGGGAAATCTCCACGCAGTGGTTTCCCCTAACTGGGAGAGTGATCCCCCTCCTCCTTTCCAAACATAGAAAAGAGGCAGCCTAGAAGATTGGGGGGGGGACCCCTTCCCTATCGAGAAAGGCCGAAGCGCTGGGGACTTTTTCAGTTTAGAGAGACCAGTCTGAGATTTTCTTCCTTTTCTAATAATACTAGATCTTGGTGAAAGGAGGGGCACTGATTGATGGCTTACTGAGCACACACAAAAGAAGACACTTCAAACACAATCAGCCTAGAACAGTTTTGAAAGAGAGTGAGACCGATCTACGTGGGATGGATCCATGTGAGCCAGGATAGCTAAAGAGAACCTCCATGTGCAGAGGCAGTATGTATGTTTGGTGGGGCAAGCAAGAAGGCTGCTGCCTTTGTGCCCTGCTTTGGGACTTCTTGGGGGGGCTCTGTTGGATATGCAGGGCTGGACTAGATGGACTCATGCTCTGAGCCAATAGGGTTCTTCTTATGTTCTTAAAAAAGTGCATCTACAAAATAGACAAAAATTAATGTACAAAGAGCCCCTGCTGGATCGAACCAAAGATTCACCTTGCACTGCATCCAGCAGCAGCCAGCTAGAATGCTTCCCACAAGGAAGCCATGAATGCAAAAGCCCTCTCCCATTGTTTGCCCCACTATACCTGGTATGCAGGGATGTACTGCCTCTGAATATGGAGGTTCCGTTTAGCTATGATGGATAATAGACCCGCCCTCCTTTTTTTTTGCCAGGTCAAAAGTCTTCCAGAAATTGATTATTAAGTTGATAATTTATATTGATATTCTGTTGCTGTAGCTAATGATGACTGAGTGGAGCATAATACTGGGTTTGCAATGGCTGGACAACAGGTTACCCTTTAAATCTTTTTGGATGTGCAGATATAAGGCTCAGCTGTGTCTCACTGCTTGTTTAGTAAGGTAAAGGTTCCCTTGCTCGAAAGCCAGTCAAATCCGACTCTAGGGTTGCGGTGCTCATCTCCGTTTCAAAGCCGAAGAGCCAGCACTGTCTGAAGACATTTCCGTGGTCATGTGGGCGGCATGACTAAACACCAAGGCGCACAGAATGCTGTTACCTTCCCACCGAAGTGGTACCTATTTATCTACTTGCAATTTCTTGCTTTCGAACTGCTAGTTTGGCAGGAGCTGGAACTAGAGACGGGAGCTCACTCCATCGTGCGGCACACTCAGGTCTCGAACTGCTGAACTACTGACCTTCCACAGCCTTCAGTTCAGCATCTTAACCACTTGAGCCACCACAGCTCCTTGTTTAGTACAAGGGCGTAAAATCAGAATAGTCTTCAAGAATGCAGGTGCCTCTGGCAGCTGCTTCATCAGCCCATCTCTAGATTCCTACCAGTGTTTTCCCCCAATAATAGTTATTATTTTTCAACTAGGAACCAAAAGAGGTTAATAATGTTTTCTACTCAGCCATTGTAGGTGCTTCAGACAGTAAAGTGCCAACAGAGGAAAGCGACAACCATCCATCTTGGAATTCACTGCCACAGGAAGTGGTGGCGGCTACAAGCATGGACGGCTTCAAAAGGGAATTAGATAAGCATATGGAGCAGAGGTCCATCAGTGGCTATTAGCCACAAGGTATAGATAGGGACTCTGGGGCAAGTGATGTTCTGTCATCTTGGTGCTTGGGGGGGTCAACAGTGGGATGGCTTCTAATGTCCTGGCCCCACTGGTGGACCTCCTGATGGCACTGGTATTTCTGGCCACTGTGTGATACAGAGTGTTGGACTGGATGGGCCTTTGGCCTGATCCAACATTGGCATCTCTTATGTTCTTATGTTCTTATCCATCGAGTAAGAGCATTCCTAGCTAGGGATGAATCTAATTTACTAGATTCTGACTGAGTGAGGAAACAGAACCCTTTTAACTGTGTGAGAATCCTTGCCTGAAGTTTGATGGTTGCAGGTTTCAGAGTCATTGTTTGCTTCTTGTGTGGTGCCACAAACTGTGCATTTGTCTGTGTGAGATTCAAGTGGTGCCAATGCAAGACAATGTAGTTTCTTTATGAATTGCACTTTTGGGTCCTGGAAATGGAATCCAAGCACCAGGCAGACAATGTTAAGATTCAAAGAGCCGCGATGTAAGATGATCCCTAACCATGTTGCCTCAGTAAATTCACCTAGGTTCAATTGAAGTTGTAAGCATACCGGACCGCAGTTTGCCCTGGTTAGTACATGGATGGGAGATCACCAAGGAAGTCCAGAGTTGCTACACAGAGGCAGGCAATGTTAAACCACCTCTGAACGTCTCTTGCCTTGAAAACCCAATGGGACCACCACAAGTCAGATGTGACTAGACACCAAAAAAAGAAGGATAAAACGGAGGGCAACTTTACCATGCCCTTCCCAGTCCTTCCCCGTCTTGAAATTGGAAGTTTTCCAGACCAGTTTGTGAGATGGAATGCAGAGTCAGTGTTCAAAAACAAAAGTTTGAAAATGCATCTGGGGTAGCGTGTGGTGCATAAATTTGGAGGGGCATCTGACAGTGTGATCCAATGCCTGTTTACCTGGGAGTACAACTCATTGAATACTGTGGGCATAGGATCATACTGTAGTGTAGCTTTTTGGATCCCAGCCATTTAATATTTTTGTGGAATAGCAGGGAAGAAAATCAAGAAATTAAATGTCCTAACACTAAATGTCTGAATGTAGGTTCAGAAAGAGATTAAAATGTCAGTTTCAGGTAACACAACTTGGAATGCTTCAGACCCTCAGTGTGGGAAGAGCTCTTTCTATCAGACTGGAGGACCAAATGAAGACTGAATTTGCACATGCCACTTCAAGGAATTCTCAGCTGTTCTTCTACCATTGCTGTGCATATGTGAAAAAAAACAGAAGGGCAACATTAATTGCACTTCTGCATATCTGCAGTGCAGAAAAGCAATTCTAAATGCACTTGTATAAAGTTTCTTTGTTGACTGATGGCCAGGCATGAAGACTGATTCACAATTGCATTTCAGTGCCTATTTTACTCTGGTCCTTAAGTTTCCACAGTAGCTCAATTCAGGCCTCCTCATATTTTCTGCCTCAAGGCCAGTTTTATTTAAAAAAAAACCATTTGGCAAACCCCAAACCATTGCAGACAAGAAAAAGATTTATCTTCTGTCCTTCCCCCCACCACAAAAATCAGCATTCAGAATACTAGACATTTCCTTAGTCACAATGACAAAAAATGGAAACGTTCCAGAGTGATCCATCATCTTGGGTATGAAGCAGCATCTGATATTCCTCCTTGCTCTTTCCCATTTTTTTTGCTTATGCAAGCTTCATGCAGGAATAAAAATTACGAAATGTCTGTCTAGGGCCAGATCACTCATACCATGCACATGACTTCATTTCTTGTCATTTTACAAACAGCATAACGAACATGGGGTTTGAGGAGATCTAGGGCATGAACACCAGCTCTACCAAAGGTGTTTGGTCCGTGATGGACCATTCACACGTGTGTCACCGTTTACTGCTGTGGCCACAAAGGCTTGAAACCCAAACAAGCCCCATTGAGCCTGCATAATAAATGGGAGGGAATATTAGAAATACAAGGGGTAGAATTTTTAATTGAACACCTCTCTGAGCACTCTTGCCATTCATAAAATGTTAAAACTAAAATACATTGACATAATAAAGTAGTAATAGGCTTGGCTGCTGGATGGTTCTAGAGTCAAGAAGGAACAGGGCAGGGGTGAGGATGGGCTGAGAATACAAGAGAATTAACTAGCAGACTAGGCTCAGGATCAGCAGCCTGCTGTGATGTGAGCAAGTTAAGTCCCTTTTTAATTCCCTTCCTTGTCTTTCAGCCCGGGATTCTTGCCAGGCTAAACGCTTTCCTTTCTGCTTTCTCAAAGGATATCATGGGCAAACTGCAGAGCAAAATTCGCAACAGGTCCTCTAAATACAGGTAAGGAGGAACTGCTTGGCTGATCATCGTCACACTGAACGTGTTCTGTGGTGTTGTAATCTGGAAGGGAGGGGTGACAATGGTTTCGATCCTCGGGCTCTGTTCTACCAGCAGTGGCACATTCCTCTGCAGCGTGACTCCCTCCACTGACGCGAGATGCTCTTTGAGTCTCTCTGAGTCTCTTGCAACAGGGAAAGTCTCCTGTATCAGAGGAAGACACTACCAAATAGAGAATGGATTTGTGGTGTAGTGGCTAGGAGCGTGGACTGTAATCTAGGAGAACTGGGTTTGATTCCCCACTCCTCCACATGCAGCTGCTGGTGTGACCTTGGATCAGTTACAAGTACTTTCAAAACTGTTCTCTCAAAAGTAGTTCTCAAAAGAGCTCTCTCAGCCCCACCTATCTCACAGGGTGTCTGTTGTGGGGAGGGGAAGGGAAGGGAGATTGTAAACTGCTCTCCTTCGGGTAGTGAAGTGCGGGGTCTAAATCCAGTCTCTTCTTCTGGAACCCCTCCCATGCTTGATCGATTTAGCTTTCTCCTTTGTTATTAATCTATTTATACCCTGTTTATCTCCCTAATGGAGACCCAAAGCAGCATATAGCACCATTCTCTCCTCCGTTTTATTCTCCAACAACACACCTATGAGGTAGGTTAGGCTGAGAAGGAGTGAGTACCCCAAGGGAGCTTCTATGGCAGAGAGGGGATTTTAACCTGAGTCTCCCAGACCTCAGGCCCGCACTGTAAGCACTGCACCTCACTGTCTGTCAGATATCATGTATCTGATCCATTATTATCAATTTTTTCATATAGTGCCTGTTAAATGCATGGCACTTCACAAAGTACAGGATGACCTCCAAGGGGCTTACCATCTGAAAATGGACCCAGAGAACAAACAGAGAGAAGAAACAAAGATGGAGGTGGGGAGAAATTGGGGATGTAGCGCTGTAGTGATTAAGAGCAGCGGACTCTGATCTGGAGAACCAGGTTTGATTCCCCACTCCTCCACATGCAGCCAGCTGGGTGACCTTGGGCCAGTCATAGTTCTCTCAGAGCTGTTCTCTCAGCCCCACCTACCTCACAGGGTGTCTGTTGTGGGGAGAGGAAGGGAACCTGATTGTAAGCCTCTCTGAGACTCCTTCGGATAGTGAAGGACGGGGTATAAATCCAATCTCTTCTTCTTTGTAGGTTTCGTTTCAGTAGGGGACTTAAGGGATTGTGTGAAAAGGTGACTGAGTGAGACCATTGAATGAGGGAATCAAGGCCTGGTACTGAATCCCCGTTTCTCTTTTCCACCTGCTTGACAGGGCTGAGGAAGAGAGCCCACCTGCCAAGACTGTTCTGCAGTACAGCCCTGCTCACAGGGATGCTGTCGCTTCTGTGGCTTCCCTTCCACCAGACCTGTGCCTGTCAGGAGGAAAAGACAAGGTTGGTTGGGTGTCACTCTTGGCTGGCAACAACTGGAATTTTGGTCTCAACAGACCAGCTGTCTGCCTTGCTGTCTTGTGGCTTCATAAGATCATATATGTGGCATGGGAACTGTGGCTTCAGCTTTCAGAAGGATTGTGGTTTGCTGGCAAAGTACCCACTTTACACACAGAAAGTCCCAGGTTCAATCCCTGGCATCTCAGGTGTTGAAGAAGTCCTTTCTGTACCCGAGACCCTTATGAGAGCCACTGCCAGTCAAATACAGGGCTAGATGTGTCAGTGATCAATGGCCTCCCCATCAAGCCATAATGCCCAGAATTATTTGTTTAAACCAGCTTGTGTATAGTGTGCCAAGCCATTAGTCCAAAGTAAAATATGTTAAAAGTATGAAAGTAGCAATGCTGCCTGAAGTGGCCCGTAAGAACCTATCAAAATAATCTCTCTTTTTTTCCAGATGGCTGTTGTATACAACTGGAGATGTGGCACTGTGGTCAGGCGGTTCCTGGGACACGAGCGGGAAGTCACAAAGGTAAACTGTGAGCTGCTTTGGTTAGAAGAATGAGGTGTGGTCCAAGAAGGTCCCTGTTTCAAAACTTTCCACAAAGATGGCTTTCAGCAAGTCACTGCCAGCCCCTCCCAATCTGCAATACAGGGGAGAAAAACACTGGTCTGCCTTACCAGTCTGTTTAAGGATTACAACATGATCATGTATATGAAGCATTTTGAACATAAAGATGTGTACAAATGCTAAATGGTGTTATTAGTCTTACTTGCAAATCTGTTTCCTTTCCATCCCTTCCTAAGCAGATGGGGGTGAAAGAATTACCTCTCTGTTGGATTAACAAACTAGTGCACCAGCTCCAATCAACAACAACAAATAATAATAATAATAATAATAGTAATAGTGATGATGATGATGATTGGTGGTGGTGGTGGTGGTGGTGGTGGTGGTGGGCTGGGTTTTTTTTTTGAAAATGAATAAATGTTCTTAAGGAAACAGTTAATACCCCTGGAGTAGCCAAGGGTCATCTATTCCAGGGCCAGTGTCAGGGTGGGGTAATAGTGTTGTGCAGTGGTTTGAGTTTCAGACTAAGATCTGGGAGACCAACAAGGCTTGAATCCCCACCTGGCCATGGAAGCTTGCTGGGTGTCCTTTGGCCCATCAAATACTCTTAGGTTAACCTACCATACAGCATTGTTGTGAGGATAAAATGGAAAAGAGAACAATGTAAGCCCATTTGGGTCACCAGCAGGGAGAAAATGGGGATGTTAATGAAGCAGATAAACACCGTACCTCTAGAACACCCAATTTGCTCCACTGAAGAATATTTTAAAATCCCACTGATTATAATGTTAAACGTGACCGGGGAAGCCCTGTCTGGAAATGGGGCCATCCCACTTGGTGAAGAAAGCTTGCTACAGCCTTGTATTAATCAGGATTCTGTTGTCTGCCAATGAGGCCGGGCTATACAAAACAACCCTAATGACTGAGAGAAAATAATCTCTTTTGCCTAATGATGTTTACATAAGCATCCAAGAGGCAATATATATTGCATAATGATGCTTACATATAGTGTTCAAGGGGCAATACATGTATATTATTGCAGTAATCCTTACAACTGCCCTGTAATGTAGGCCAGTGTCAGCATCTCCATTTTATAGATAGGGATGAGCATGTGAGACAATGTGGTTTGTCTAAGGCCACTTCTTAAGTCTGTGGCAGAGGTGAGATTTATTTTAGTGTTGGTTTGTACTTCTGTACTACGATTTATATACTTTTCACAGCAGTTTGTTGCAAATGTTGAAAACCATTTGCAGAATGTAAAACTGGCATGGACAAATATAATCAAAGTTGACCCACTGTCAACAGCGCTGACGATCCCCACCATAAAAACATCAGCACACAAGTGCACACACACAAAAAACTTAGGCTGACTCTCATAGCCTCCGACACAAGGGACGAGGGTGGACAGGGATGTTGAAATGGTCCAGCAGGAAAGCAAGCTGAGCCAAGTCCCATGCTGATGTGGCTTTGCTTTCTCCAAACTGCTAGTTGGCCCTCTTGGGCAGTAGCCTTCTCCCTCTGCTGATGGAAGACATTACCCATGATGTGAACCAAAGACATCCTGGATCACAGTCATGGTGCTACGCAGGGCTTTTTTTGTAGAAAAAGCCCAGCAGGAACTCATTAGCATAAGAGCAGAAACTCATTCGCCTATTAGGCCACACCCCTGACAGCACAGCTCATTGGCATATTAGGCCACACCCCCATGTTACCAGAAGTGTGCTCATCCAGCCACCCCCACCTTTTGCTTCTTATTCTGTTTACCTTGTTTGTTGTCAAAACCCAGGGCTTTTTTGTAGCAGGAACTCCTTTGCATGTTAGGCCACACACCCCTAATGTAGCCAATCCTAATGAGTTTCTGCTGCTGGGTGTGGCCTATTATGCTAATAAGTTCCTGCTCTGCATGGCCAACTTGGAAGCCAGCCGGAACTCCATTCCTGTGCGTTCCTGCCCCAAAATAGCCCTGGTGCTATGGCAGGCCAAACAGCATGGTCTTCAGACAACCCACATGCCAAGGTTCCTTAAGGGGAAGATTTTATTTGAATCCATTGTTCTCTCCTGCCCAGGTCACTGGTCTCCCCCATTCCAGCTGGCTTTTCAGTGCTTCCCGAGACAAAACAGTGCTGCTGTGGGATTTGCATGGTGCTTCTGGGCCGGTCCAGTGTTTTTCAGGACACGATCTGGTAGTCACCGGTTTGGCTGCTAGCCCAGGTGAGGCAGATGTGGATCTCGTCCTTGGAATTCTCACATGAAACAAACTTCTCGCCATGCTTTTTCACGAACACTCTCTTGCTTGTTCAGCTTTCCGACAGCTCTGCACGGGTTCCCGTGACAATACTGTCTGCATGTGGGACATGGAGACAGGCGACTGTTTGCACAGAGCGGCCATTTCAAGGAACCTGGTAAGAGCAGGCGAAACGTCTCTGTTCCTTATGTTGAAAAGAAAAACCTCTCCTCCTTATGCACGCCGAAGATGCAAATATTTGCTTTATTTTTAAAAAATTAGTGATGTATTACTGTCACTATTTTCTTTGATATGTGAACAGAGCCTCCAAGTTCAGAGCCAGTATGCCACTGGAAACCAGATGAACAAAACAATAGGGGGAGGATTTCAAGTCCTCTTGTAGATTCTTTGGAGAACTGTAGCTGGCACTGCTGGAAATCTGTTGTTACTGTCAAGTCACAGCTGATTTATGGCAAGCCCGTAGGGTTTTCAAGGTAAGAGACGTTCAGAGGTGGTTTGCCATTGTCTGCCTCTGCATAGTGACCCTGGTCTCCCATCCCAATACAGCCAGGACTGACCCTGCTTAGCTTCCAAGATCTGACGAGATTGGGCTTGCCTGGGCTATCCAGGTCAGGGCTCATTTTGAAGAGCTTTTGACCTATGCCAGTAACATTGTTCAAGAAACAATTGCAACAAATGCTTTGGCAACACACCGCTTGCTTGCAGTTTGACCTTGCATTATCCAAGAGCTGGCCTTGAACCCTACTGCCCTCCCTGCATAGAAATAGCAGCTCCGCTGCCATTGTTTCTATCTTGCAGGTAACACACCTGTGCTGGATTCCTGGTGAGCCGTATGTCATCCAGACATCAGAGGATAAAACAGTCAGGTCTGTGTCACTGATAAAGAGTTCAAAGATAAAGTTTTGCATGAGTTCAGCAGCTCGGGACTAAACTGCTCATTAACATTTAGTTCTGGAGTCGTTTTAAAAGACTGTGTTTTCCCCTCTTCTGAAGTGCTACTATCGAGACTGCTTTTCCAAGAGGGTCAAATAGTATGGGGGAAGGAGAGGGGCTTTTTAGCCTTTTCCTTCCCTGCTGCTTTTACCCTGCTAGAGAAAAATTACAGGTATCTACCAGGCCATGTAGTACAGATAGTTTTGGATGATAAAATATCATGGGCTAATGTAGGAGGGATTTTAGGTCAGTGGAAGAGTGGTCCTTTGAATATAGAAGGTCTGTGTTCAATCTCCACCATTTCCAGGTAAAAAAAGATCTTTTCGGTGCTGGAATATACAAAATGTATAGTGCACCTACTTTAAGAGGATCAGAAGAACAGCCTATAGGGGACAGCTGAAGGACTGCTGGTTAGCGTGGCTAGATTAGGGACAAATTGTGTCCTTCCTGTCCTCTGGTTGGCTCTTCAGATAATTCCTGCTCCAACTAAGGCCTCCCCCTTCGTTCTATCTCTCACAGCAATCAGTTAGTTAAGGCTCTCTCCCTCTCCTCTGTTCTATCAGTTTATTTCTTCTTTAATAAACCAAGTTATTTTCCTTAAACAGTTGGTGCGCCGCTCCTTTGCATATTTAAACTCTGCCAACAGTCAGCAGATGCTGAGAAAGCCCCCTCTCTGCATAGGACCCTGGAGAGCTTTCTGCCAGGCAGTGGACAATATGAGCTCAATGGAGCAGAGATGTCTCTTTTAAGGCAGCTTCCTGTGCTTTGCTTCCAGCATCTGTTCATTCTTGTCTTCATTTCAGGATCTGGGACACCCGGGAACTGCAGGTGGCGCATTCCTTTCCTGCCAGACAGCACATCCAGACATCCTGCGACGTTAGCCCAGATGGACGCTACTGCGTCAGCTGCAGCTCTGGCTTTGGTGGGGAAGGCTGTGAAGCCACGGTGAGGCGAAGCCTGGCAGACTCCCACTGACAAAACACAACCCAAGACCAAGATGATGGAATGGCAGCAGAGCTGGGTGGAGTTCGCAAAGGCTGTTTGCTCTATTTAGTTTCTATCTTCGGGTCCCATTCCCTGGTAAAGAAGGCTCTGTCCGAGACACCTAGGCTCTGCTTGAAGAACTGCTGTTCCCAAGGTTTCTTGGGGGAGAGGGACTGACTTATTAAACCCAATTCTGTCCTGGTTTTTGTACATGTAGGGTTGCGAAAAACGGATTTAAAATCATGTAGGCAGCCACTGCTGAAATCGCAGGAAGTGCAATCAGAATTTCCTGAGATGTGGGGGTTCTTTATAAAACAAAAGTCCAGTGGTTCCTTAAATAACTAGCAGCACTTATTTCAATTTGAGCTTTTTGAGCTTTTAACTTCTTCATATATGTGCAGAAGGGGAGATCACACAGGGAATTCTTTTTATGGGGAAGATTAGAGGTGATAGGGGTAAGGCAGAGTGGTTTGGTGCAAATTCTACCATGACTCTTTCAGGTGCAAATTTGCTGTGTATGGGGAAAAGGGAGGAGCTGACAAAGATTAAACTTGAATCCCATTATTACCTTCCATAGCGCTCCACCTTTTTATGAATAGCAGAATAGGTTGTGCAAATGTGTACAGATGAGCTTGACAGTAGAATTGTAACTGGCATACTTAAAAAATAATAATGTGGAACAGTGATATAAGTTCCCACTCATAAACCCACCTGGACTTGCAGGACTCTCCCCCAGAGAGGTGTTTCTTTTCCTTTCCAGCTCTGGGACCTGCGGCAGACGAGAAGCAGTGTGCGTGAGTTCCGGGGCCACTTCCAAACCACGATGTCCTGCATCTTCCTCCCCAAAGGCCTCACCCCCTTCCCTGCCATTGCCACTTCATCACATGACGGCACAATAAAAATGTGGAGCCAGGAGACTGGAGGTATAATAAATCTCAGTTGCGGGGGGGGGGGGGGGGAGCGCAACCAAGCATAACAATTCTGTTCCTGAGTCAGGTCAGGGTCCATCTCGCTCAGCATTTTGATTCCATCGTCAACTAGCCAGGTGACTCTCACAAGATGAGGAGAGCATGAAGCCATCAACCCTCCCCCATTGTACGTCCTCTGTGGTTCACAGGCATACTGCCTCTGAACACAAAGGTTCCACTTAACATTCATAACTAACAGCTTTTGATAAACCTACCCCTTTTTAATTAATTTGTCCAGTTTTTTTTTAAAAAAAGAGCATCTAGGCTAGCAGCAGAAGTGGACTGGGAAATAAAAATGGCCCTGAAACAAGCCACGTTATGTGGCCACTGTGGTGCTACAAGCCAGCCCTTCAGTCAGGGATCGCTCAGCTCAGCAGTGCAACAAGCAGTGGGTATTAGTTCACCCAGGGCTTCCTCCTGAAAACTGGCAGCAGTGTGGGAGAAGACGGTGCACTGACACCAGTCTCCATTATAACTGATGAAGGGTCTGAACCAAATGGCCCCTGTGACTCTGGCAGAGTTGCTAGAGCTTGGTTCTGCTTGCTCCTGCCCACCAGTGGCCCTTTAGGGCAGTGGCCCGCCAGGGAATTTCCCTGTAAGTTGAATGGCCTGTCTGCCCCTGTCTAGCAACCTTCACTTCGTCCTGTTGCAGCTGAGTTCCATGAGTCAACTGCAGATTGTCTGCAGAAGTATTTCCTAACTTCAGGTGGTTTTGATTTTTTTTAAATCCCTTTTTATTTCCCCCAACTTCCAACCCTACAACAAAGATGGGATGCCATTTCCAGCTGGTATGTTAGAGGCCAGATCCTCTCTCCCATAACTGCCCAGATAAGGACAATAGCAAAAGACATCCTTGCAGGTTGCCAGTTACAGCCTTCAGCCATTTGCAGAGGGAGGGAAAAGACAGACTCTGTATGCAGTGATGACCTCCACACTGTTGCTTTCTGAGCCAGTTTGGTTAGTGGTTAAGAGTGCAGACTCTAATCTGGAAGAACCGGGTTTGATTCCCCACTCCTCCACATGCAGCTGCTGGCGTGACCTTGGGTCAGTCACAAGTTCTCTCAGAGCTGTTCTCTCACGAGCAATTCTCAAAAGAGCTCTCTCAGCCCCACCTATCTCATGGGGTGTCTGTTGTGGGGAGAGGAAGGGAGAAGATATTGTATACAGCTCTGAGACTTCTTTGGGTAGTGAAGGGTGGGGTATAAACCCAATCTCTTCTCCTCTTCTTCTTCTTTCTCCCCAGCCTGCCTGACCACCACCTGCCTCGACGGGGCCGGGCCTCTTCCTTCGCTATCCACCTGCGAGACGGGCGGCCTCCTTTGCGCCAGCTCAAACTCTGGGATTCATTTGCTGAGAGTCGGCTCCACAAAGGCACTGGAGCTGCAGGAAGTGGCCAAGTTCTGACCCTAAGAGACCAGCTAATGTGGCAAACCGTGGCATCATGGGAGAATGGGCAGCGTATGGGGAGATGGGGTAGAAATCATGATTAGGATGTGTCAGAGGTCATTTTGGGGGATCGCGGGGGATCGCAGTTCCCCCGGGTGAGGTACGGGGGGCGAGGCACATGACGAAGCCCGCCCCCTGCTTCTGGCCGCCCCGCTTCCGGCCCTCATTCAGCCAGGAGGAGGCAGGAGAAGAGGGAGGGTAAGTTGCTTCCTCCCTGCCTCTCCCCACCCCTGCCTGCCTGGGGCCAGGGAGGGCCTTCGCGGGGCTTCCTTGCACTCCTGCCGGCCTTGCAGGTCCACTGCCGGGCCCCTCAAGGGGCTCGGCAGTAGAGCTGCAAGGCCGGTAGCGGCGGCTGGGACCGTTGGGGGTGGGATCAGGGGATGACACACTTATGGTGATGACACACTTCTGGTGATGTCAGGGGATGTGGCATATGCTAATGAGTTATGCTAATGAGTTCCCCTAGCTCTTTTTCTACTAAACGACCCCTGGGATGTGTGGCAGTCTTATGAAGCAAAAGTAGGGTTGCCAGCTCTGGGCTGGGAAATACCTGGAGATTTGAGGGGTGGAGTCTGGGGAGGGCGGGGCTTGGGGAGGGGATGGATTTCAGTGGGGTACAATGCCATAGAGTCCACCTCCCAAAGTGGTCATTTTCTCTAGGTGAACTGATCTCAGTTGTAATAGCAGGAGATCTCCAGCCACTACCAGAAGGTTGGCAACCCTAAGCAAAACTAGTAGTGAATGAGACGTGTCATTCATGTTGAATTCTGTGCTGCTGTTAATGGGATGCGGGAGGTCAACTAGTGCAGGCGGATGGACTTACAGCAGGTGGGTACAGGCAACGGGGACCCAAGTGCTCTTTCTGCTGGCTGAAGCACAGCAAGAATGTTCCCGGGGGCAGAGGAGCGCCTGGGGTTGCCAACCAGTGTTCCCTCTAAGCTGAGTTAGTGTGAGCTAGCTCACAGTTTTCTAGCCTCCAGCTCACAGATTTTTGTCTTCGCTCAGGAAGCATGGCTCCAGAGCAATCTAATTTATGCAGTAGCCAAATCGTTCGCTCACAATTTTAATGCCAGTAGCTCACGAATTAGAATTTTTGCTCAAAAGACTCCACAGCTTAGAGGGAACATTGTTGCCAACTCTGGGTTGGGAAATGCCTGGAGATTTTGGAAGTGGCATTTTAGAGCCCGGAGATGGTGGCATTTGGGGAATGGAGGGTATAATGCCATAGAGTCCATCCTCCAAAGCAGGCATTTTCTCCAGAGGAACTGATGTCTATTGCCTGGAGATAAATTTTAATCAGGCCTGCAGCCAGGATTTTTTTAGTGGGGGGGCATTTAAATTTCTTAGGGGGCACTGGCTAATCAAAATAAAGGTAATTTAATGTGGTCCCTCGTGCTGGACAGCTGCGCAGGAATACCCGGCTCCTTCCCTGCACCCACTGCCACTCAGGGGCCCTGAGCTGAATGGGAAGTTGGGGGGCCTTGCCAGTAAGTCGGGGGGCCTAGCCCCAAGATGCCCCACTGTAGCTACGGGCCTGGTTGTAATGCTGGGAGATCTCCAGGCCCCACCTGGAGGCTGGCAACCCTAGCAGTGCCTTGCGATTCATCCACTTTTCATATTGTTTCTTTCTGGACATGGTTTTTAAAAATTAAATAGCAAGTGAATGGCATATACCAGGTAGGAGTTACTGTCCTGTTTCTCTCCGTGCAACATTATTTAACAGCCTGTCACTATATCTCACTCTTTCAAGGAACTCAGGGTGCTCTACCAGGAATGAGATGATCCCATTTTTTACCCTCACACTAGGTCTTATGAGGTAGGTTAGACTGAGACTGGCTGAAGTCACCCAACAAGCATCAAGACCCAAGTGGGCCCTTGTTTCTTGAGGTTAGAGTGTCAGATGAGGAACAGATTCAGGTGGGTAGCCATGTTGGTCTGAAGCACCAGAGCAAAGTTTGAGTCCAATGGCACCTTTAAGACCAACAAAGTTTAATTCTGGGCATAAGCTCTCTTGTGCATGCACACTTCTTCAGATACATTAAAACAGACTTTGCCAACCATTACAAGTCTGTTTCAATGCATTGGAAGAAGTGTGCATGCACAAGAGAGCTTATGCCCAGAATTAAACTTTGTTGGTCTTAAAGGTGCCACTGGACTCAAACTTTGTTAGATTAGAAATAGGGAAAACACAGGTTCAGATTCCCATTCTGCATGAAGCTCACTGGACCCATCACTTATTCTTAACCTAATTTACCTCACAAAATGGAGAAGGGAGAATCGCATATGCTACCTTGAACTCCTCGGGCGATAGGTGGAGAAAAATCTAACAAATTAAATTAAATTAAACCCAGGTATCTCCCATCTAGGACCGCAGTGGCTTAGAGGTTAAGACACTGAGTTGCAGACCGGAAGGTTGGTAGTTTGGTGGTTTGAGACCCTAGTGCTGCATTGACAGAGTCTCTGGCCCCAGCTCCTGCCAACCTAGCAGTTCAAAAACAAGAAATTGCAAGTAGATAAATAGGTACCCCTTCGGTGGGAAAGTAACAGTGTTCCGTGCACCTCAGCATTTAGTCATGCTGGTCACATGACCACGGAAATGTCTTCGGACAGCGCTGGCTCTTCAGCTTGGAAATGATGAGCACCACCCCCTAGAGTCGGATTCAATTATCTCTTGAGCAAGGGAAACCTTTACCTTTTATCTCCTATCTATTACATTTCTGTTCTTCAAGAACTGCAGGGATGTGTAGGTGGGGTTATCCCATTTTATCCTCATACATGTGAGTAGATTAACACGGAACGGAATACCAGGAAACCACTGAATGCCAGGCTAACAGCAGAGCTGAATAGATGAGGAGTCTGTACACTCAAAAACTTTGGCAGACCATCTTAATCTTTGGAACTGGCAGATCTGCTTTTTTAAAAACAAGCTTTCAGTGGCCAAGAATACCAAATTAATATGTGCAGCATCCTGTATGAAAGATGGCACAGCCCCTGAGCAACCAGTCAAATAAGTGTTTCTGTGGAGGTTTCATAGGGAATACCCCATCAAATAATTTTCAGCTCATTCACTTCAAAGGGTTATTTTTATTATTAACTCATCACCACACACAGGTTTCTCTTACAAGCCAGCATGCTTATTTTCACATCTTAAGGCCTGATCTGATAGATCCATTCTTCAGCACCGGTGTGTATCTTACATTCTACTAAGTGTCTAAACACCCTGGTAATACACAGCATTCCAGAATGCTCTACACAGCCATGTGGTAAGACTCAGGTCCCAAGACCAGGCTCGCAGAATAGATTAGTTTCAGGTATTCAGGGCACTGCAGCAATCTCTACAGTTAGTAGGCAGATCTACTTGGATGACTGGAGGTAAAGTTTTGTTCAGTTCTCCAGTAAGATAGATTTTTTTAGGGAGGGGGTGTTTCTTGGGTCTTTCATTGGTAGACTGTGCTTCCTCGGAGTTCTTAGAGTTTTCAAACCGCTTCGTTCCAGTTGTGTGGCCTCAGAGACAGACCTCTTTGTCTGTGTAGCTGAATAACCCTCACTGTGACTGGCAGCAGCTCTCAAAGCATGTCTCCAACCCTGCTACTAGAAATTCTTTAACCTGGAGACGTTGGGGGCTTAACACTGGGCACCCTGCACAGTCTTCTACTGCAGTAATGTGCTCCTCTTCCCAACTGCATTGTGTAAGTACAGAATGTAGGACAGCCTGAGAATAGCAGTCCCTGCTTGTTCGTTCGTTCGTTTAAATAAAAGCAAGCTTCCAGTCCACATCATTGCAAAGTTAGGCTTGAAAGTCAGTAGCCAATACCTGGTGAAACCTCAGAAGCAACAGGTGGACTGAGCAGAACCTCCAGTGTTTGAAAGGTGCAACATCTGGGGCTTACAATAGTTTCAGAATTCTGCAAATAATGTACATGACATTTCTTTTGCGATAATTAAAAAAACGATCACACAGAACACCTCCCATTTCTCCCCTTGAATATTAAAAATGAACCTTTGACCCTGAACCTACCAAGAACCATTGCTTCTCCTTCCTATACTGAAGGTTCAGTGGAAAATACTGAGCTTGCTCTAAAAAAAGGTTCAAGTTGTTAGCACTTCCCAAGAAGCCGAGCATTTGTACGTGCTTGGTATACACTTGCAAACCCCCCCCCCCCAACCTCAAGCCAAGCAGCTGGTATGGAAAATGAATGCTGAAGGAAGATCTGTACCAATCTAGGCACTGCGTGGCAACCCAAGAAACACAGCCACAGGCAGCATTACCACCACAAATAGAACGGCGGCAGCACATATCATACTGGGATAGTTTTCCAACAGGAGACGACCCATCTCCCTACACACAGACCTGGGGGGATGAGTGCTAATAAAGTTCTGGGGTCGATTGTCTTGGGAGGTGGCTTTGAACAAGTCCACTGTCACAAGAATCTTCACGGCCTCTTCCTTAGTGTCCCCCGGTGGCCTTTTCAGCCAGCACAGGCGAAATCCATCTATCCAGACCTCTTCAAGCTCTCGCATCCATGGAGGAAACTGCTGGACGACTTCCATGTTAGCTGGAAGGCTGGGGATCCCTTCTTGGGGGAGAGGGATGCTCTTCCGGCAGAGGGGGCAGCAAAACAGCTGGTTTGGCTTCAGGAAGGCACACAGCCTGGCCAGGCACTCCAAGCAGAAGGTATGAGAGCACGGCAAAAGCAAAGGAGTGTTGAACACATTGTTATAGGCAAGGTAGCAAATGGGGCACTCGAGAGTGGATGCCTGTGTTTCCTCTTGCCCAGTTTGGTTTGCAGGAACAGGAGAAACATCCATTGCATACCTTTCCCCTTTGTCCATTTCAGTAGCTGCTTAGAACCAACTGGGACCAGAGCTCCCTTCCAGGGGTGATTCTTCTCCCTCCTTCAGTGGCATTGCTCAAATGATAATCTGCTGTATTCCTTCAATGGCCTGTCCTGCTTCTCTCACAAGTGGTGGTGATGGTGGTCTCACCAACCCCAAATTCAGATGGCCAACAAAATATCCACCTCTTCTAGCAACACTTCTGAATTCTCAGGCAGTAGTGTGAAGGTCTTATGAGGCTCTTCCAAGGTGCATGTTACATCCCAGAACTCCTTTGAAGTTCAGCTCTTTCAGAAGCCAAGGCTACCTCTGACTGCTCTAAGAATCTCTGAAGCTCTGTGGTCCAATTCTCAAGCCCAGATCCCGGGCCTCCGATCTGTTGGAGAGTCTTGGCAACAGATATTTAACTTCAAATGTTTCTTTTGGCTTGAGCCAATGAGTTCCTCTCTAAGCAACCAGGACTTGTCTAAGCTAGCTTGTCCAGTCTGGCATGACAAAGCAGAGAGAGAATGAGCAAGCACAAACTCTAGGAGGGTTGGCGGGTTGTTTATGACAGGAGCCAGTTATTCCTAAACAGAAAGGTGCAGCCAGTCCTAAGGAGTACACATGTGAGTTTACACTGTTTGTCACATTTGCACATTAAGTGTATCCCTAGAGATGACATGAGGAAAGACGCCCTAAGCATATGTCTAAGGGAAAATGCAAAGTAGTATGCATTATATATGTTTTAAAAAGCCAGTTTCCAGCATATTGTCCACACAACTAGCACAACCAAGCAACAAATCCCACAGTGGGCCTGTATAGATGAATGAGTAGAGCCATGCTGCTAGAAGCAGGTCTCAAAATGGTGAAGGCCACTTTTCTACAAGTGGGTGTTCACTACTTGCTCTTACAATGAACAATTAAGTGCTGGACTTGGGGATGCTGTTGGGTCTAAGGCAAAACCAGCTCCAGCCATTAGCAAAGCTGGAACTGAGGCCTGGTCCACATGTGAAGCAAAATTAGGGGAATAGAAGCTCCCCCCTTTCAATGCACAGGCTCTCCATCCCATCTTTTCCAGATGGACTGTACAACTTGTGACCCACCAACCAAAGGCACCCCCCCCCCCCGCTGAAAGATTTCCCTGGTTTTCCCTGTAACTACAAAAAAAGGTGGGCATTTGTCAAGCATTTGACTAACCTCAAAACAAAGCTGGAGGAACACTGCCTAGGGAGACAGTGTTGTGTAACAGACAATGCTAGATTAGCATCTTCGAGACCAAGTTCAAGCCACCTCTAGGACTGAAAGCTCATTGAAGAGGGTTGCCAACTCCAGGTTAGGTTAGGAAATTCCTAAAGATTTGGGGGTGGAGCTTTGGAAGAGTAGGATATAATGCCAGAGAATCCACCCTCCAAAGCAGCCATTTTCTCCAGGGGAACTGATCTCTACGGTCTGAAGATCAGTTGCGATTTGGAGGGATCTCCTGGCCTAGTTGGAGGTTGGCACCCCTGTCACTGGGTGCCCTTACACCAGTTGTTCATGCTGTCTCTCAGCCTAACCTACCTCACAGGGGTATTGTGAAGATAAAATGAGAAATAGAAAACCACGTGGACTACTCTGAGCTCCTTGGAGGGATAAAAATGTACCAGTCAAAAATTTACAGTTGTGCAGGCCTTTGGGATGAAGGGGCAACTCACAACACCTGACTCACACTGAAGGTCTACCTACTCAGGCTGGTTGCAGTCACAAGGGTCTAAGGCACAGCACCCAAGATCCTTTTAACTGGAGGTGTTATGGCCTAAATTGGGACCTGGAGCACACATGCATACATGACCTGTGCTACACCAAATCATACATGACGGCGGGCGGCGGCAATAGGTAAGTATTCTTTGTTCCGGGAGCAGCTCTCCGGGATACGAAGCAGAGAAAGGTCCTTTCCCAAGGGACATATGAGGGATCAAACCTGGCACCTTCTGCCCACAAGGCAGGTGTTCCATCAAAGCCCCTTCCCATTAGCCTACATTCTGCAGAGGAAGTACTCGACCTGTTCTAGCCTCTGCCAATAAAACATGCTGGAATTCATAAAACACTGCAGCCGGTCATAAATCCTAGCAAAGTGTGTACTCAACAGAAACTCCCCAAGGATACCAGATAAACATGAGCAATCAAAGGCTTCACCCCCAGCCACCACGCCAGGTCGAGCCAGGGCCCAGGTTACAGCAAACACACAGCTGGCAGCGAGCGATAAGAATCCCTTCCTTGTGTAACAGGCTATTTGGGGGCTTCCCCGCTTGGGTGCCTTTGCAGGAAATAAATGTGGTGCCTGGAGGTCCATCACGGCCATAAACCAGCCAACAAGTCCTGCATTCTGGCACCTCTTTCATGACTGCAAAGTCTGCTCAGAGGCAACCAACAGGGCCCTGCCGATAAACAGCCAAGATGTACGGGGCCTCAGTGGCAGGGAACTATGATGGAAGCCTTCTGCAAGAAACCAAAAGGCCAGAGCTGCAGGGATTCCATGGAAGGAAGGAGGATGGGATGAGGCTGTTAATTCAGCATCTCACAAATCTCCAGTTTTCCTTAAAAAAAAAAAAAGAGAGAGATCTAGCCCTTATGAGTACAGGTTTGGATTTTATTTTTGTGAATGCACCAGGAATCGAAAAGCAGCCCTGTAGGTCCTCTTCCACTCTCCGCACGGAGGACATTCCCAGTGTACCCGACAAAGGGTCAGCCTGGCCTAGTCCTTTCAGCATCTCCATGGCAGCCTCGGCCCGCCCTCTTCTGCCAGCCTTCCACTGCTCTCCCTCTTCTCTCCTCGAGCGGCAGGTCGTTGCCCCGTAAACAACAGCTGCCTACCAACCTCACAGAGCAGAACACCAAGCCTTGCTCAAGGGACAAGGTCCCTTGGCGATGGAAGGAAGAGGGTGAATACCTCAATTTCAGCAGTGCCAGCCAAGGAATCCCTGCCCCCTTCAGAGCTGGAATTGGCCTCCTCTCCAGGTGAACTCTGCTCCTGCCAGCAGTGGAAACATCAAAACAAAGAGGAAACGGGGAGGAAAAGGGGAAGACAGAATGGAGGGGCAGGCAGCAGCGTCTGCCACTCGGCTCCTTTGTGCCTGCCAAGCAGCCGCCGTCTTCCCTGGTATCCAGGCAGGATGAGGCCTCACAGACCACGGCCCACTTTCATGGTAAGTTTTATGGGGTAAAAGCAAAAAAACCAGGGTGGGGTTGGGGAGGGGCGGGTTGAGGAAATCATGAGGTGGCCGTGTTGTCGGACCCACTCCAAGCATGATAAGGCGTCTGGCTGGGGTGAGGCACTGATCCAGCTAGCCCTTAGCAATACGAGACTGTCAATGGACATGGTACTTTACAAAAATGAGAAACAAGAGAGGCCATGTCTCTGCCCCTCACGATTACCAACTAAACACTCCAGAGGGGCAGGAATGAGAGTCTGGTGTAGCAGAGAATCCAGAAGAATCTTACAAGACTTTGTTAGGACAGGAAGTGTTTGGGACTACAGCCCACTTCAGCAGGTACATGAAGTATCCCCACACGCGTACCAAAGGGGGAGAAGTCCTTACCAGTTTGTCATTTCGTTGGCTTTTTGACTCCATTATTTATTTTTATTTTGCCATGAGTTTGTGTGTACTTGCCAACTGAAGACACACTTCACATATCTGCTGAAGGGTCTCTATTGCAATCATGATCTATTTTGCACATGCTCAACAGTAGTGCTTTTTAGTACTTGTGCATTCCAAGGGTCCGAAAACTGGTTCCACAGCTGAACTCAAAAGAAGCCCTGTCTCCTGTTCTCCTCGCACAAACCACAGGACCAGAAGTAATTGTTCCATCCACCTCCACAAATGAAATATATCACTTAGCTGTCAGCATCTATTGAATTTTTTACACAATACCTGGATTGCCTCAGCAGCTGCCCTTGGTGTGAGATGGCTTCTTAACTCCTTGTGGGCATTTTGAAATGTCTGAACATTATTTTGGAACCAGGATATTCTTTTTTTTTTTTTTTTTTTTTAAATAAACTTTGTTGACTAGCTTATTTCTGGTATTCAGCATTACACAATGTAAAGAATAGTTACCAGGCTGTCTTTAAAGAAGGGATCATACACATTCATAAAGGATTATTATTAACAAAAAAACCCTTATTATTCATAGTGCACTTCAACACTGGGCAAATTTGCATGACTTCTGATAGAATTTTTGCTTACTGTGGATTTTTATTTACTGTTTTGCATATTTTGGGTTTTGATGGCTACAGGGAGGAGCAAGGCACGGTGGAAAGCACTGAAGCTCTGTCTCCCCACCCCCACCCCAAAGGAAATTGTCAGCTGTCCCTTCTCAGGTTTCTGCAGGCATTGGCTGCATACCTTCAGGCATAGCCATACAGGCTACAGACTTTTAAAAAATAGTTCAGAATTGCACAATACTGGTACTAGAGATCGCTTACCACGTTCTGCACTCCTTTTATAACCACACTATAAAGTTCTGTGTATGTACATCAGTGCTTTATGTGAACAGTTCATCAAACCTCTAGTGACTTTTTTGTCTTTCCCAGGTAGCAGCCTAGATTTAATAAGTCTGTGGCCCAGGCTGGGCTCCTGTCCCATCAACATGACTGAGAAGCAGAGCCAAGGACTAGCAGCCGACTGTCCGGTTTGCTGGAACCCCTACGACAACACCTTCCGCACACCCAAGGTGCTCCAGTGCCAGCACTCCTTCTGCATCGAGTGCCTGGCTCACCTGAGTCTGGTGTCCACAGTGCGGAATCGGCTGCAGTGCCCGCTCTGCCGTCACCCCACCATGCTCCCCTCTGACCAGACAGTTACTGAACTTCCCACTAACGATGCAGTCTTGCGGCTGCTGCGCTTGGAGCCCAACCACATCATCCTGGAAGGCCGGCAGCTGTGCCTCAAGGAACAGCGCAAGAGCAGATACTGCTTGCGCCAGCCAAGGGTCTACACCCTTGACCTGGGCCCAGAGACGGACTCCAGCACTGTAAGCCGCCAGGACCCGACTACAACCACCACCCTGCCCAATAGCTCTCCACCGTGGAACTGTGTTCGTGACCCCCAACTTCGCATTTTCACCTACTTAATGGCCATCATCTTAAGTGTGACTTTGCTACTCATTTTCTCCATCTTCTGGACCAAGCAAATCTTTTGGGGCATCGGTTGAGAGTGCAGACTGAGGGACTACTCAGGGGCTTTTACGAAGGATGTGTATAGCAAGGAAGCAGAGGCCCTGCATTCGGGGAGGCCTTGCGGAACATGGGAGTTTACAACTTCCAAGTGTGCTGAATGGGAGCCAACAAGATGGCGCACTTGAATTGACACCTTCCATTGTGCCAAAACCCCTGCTTCAGCTGAAGGACACCTTTTCCCATGGTTGAAAGCAGAAACTTGGGGGGGGGGTGAAGGATGCCTCAGATCTTACCCCCTACCCCTCCTTTGTCCTGAGCCTGGGCACAGATGCAGCCCTGTGAAAACTGATGTCTTAACCAGATAGAAAAACCATTATGCTGGTTGTTTTCTTTGTAACCGTGCTACACCCACTCATGACCTGCTTTATCTCCTAATCCACTCCAAAAGCATCTGGTGGGTTCTGCCTTAGGTGGGTTTTCCTGGTTGGGGCATGCTAGTTCATAATAATAATAATAATAATATAATAATAATAATAATATCTTTCAATTTATTAATCGCTCAATCCTGCAGAGCTGCTGGCTCTGAGCGATTTACAGTTACACATATTAACAAGGGACTAACAATGATTCATAGGGGGTAAGGGAGGACAACATATAAATCTTTTTTAAGTCGCACACATTTGCAGCCGACGAGGTTTTTGCTCAGCTGTAGACTTAGATGTGTTCCAGACAGCATTCACTCGGCTTGATGATGTCAGTTTTTCTAGGACTGCTTCGAGTCGCAGCGTCGCACTACCACTGCCTGGCCAGATTGGCCCATCGCAGGCTTCTTAATGCTGAAGAGATCTTTCCAGGCTTCCGAGCTGGACATTCCGTTTCACCGGCTAACACCTCCCCCCACCGGGGGGGGGTTAGTGTGCCCAACCTCTCTAAGGAGTGGTACCCATTTTATCTACTTGCCGAAGCTTTCGAACCGCTGGGTGGACGGCGAGCTGGGGACAAGACTGGTAGCTCACACCAGCGCGGGCTAGAACTGACAGCAGTTCTGTTCAGTTCAGATGTTACTGTAAGTTCATGATGCTTTCTGTAAGTAGACAGCATCAGAAATTGGGAGAAACCACTCAAATCTCCAGGAAGAAAGCAGTTATTCCAGGTGTTCCGAAGCCTACTTTTAATGGGTCCTCAGCTGCACTGGCTAAAAGTGTCACTATAAACCGAAGGCAGGCTGCCGCCTCCCAGACTCAGTTCAAGAGAGCATTTAAATTAAAGGACCGATGCATAATCTACCTTTTCTAACGGCAGCAGTGATTTCTATGATTCAGCTATGGGATATTGAGGGAAGGAGGGGAAGAGGAGGAAGGAGAGAGAACTCTCTCTCTGGTTGGGCTTCTCCCAGTCAAGGAAGAAACTGTAGGGCCAACTCACAGGGCCAAACTGGTATTGTGTAAAGGGGTGTGCAGTGAAGCAGGGCGGAACACCACTTGTGCTACAGACATTTCCTTGACATGATACGATCGCAAAAGGAGGGCCAAATGGAGAAGCTTGCCAAGCTGGTAGGGTACAACAAGGCCCAGGCCTGAAACCTTTTAGGAACAGCTGGCTGCCCGGTGGAGGGACCTGGCACAAACTAGGCAGAACCAGAGGCCTAACTGCAGGCAGTGAAGACAAAAGACAATCACTGTGCCGAAGGTTGCAGAAGAGCAGCAATGCAGGCTGTCCACACCAACTACTACTACACTGTGACTGAAAAGATAAGCAGGCACAAAGAAACATAGAGAGAGGTAGGGTCGGGCACCTGCCCCACTCACTTGGACTGCCCTTGGTTGAGCAGTGAAGTGGCCAATTGCAACCCCTCCCCCCTGATTGCATCAAGTTCCCCAACTGCTTATCGTAGCTCCTTCAAAGCTAGGGGAATATTATCCTTTTGGGCAGCAGGTCAGTGGGAAAGCACCTGGTTTTGCATGCAGAAGGTCCCAGGTTCAATCTCCAGCATCTCCACTTAAAAGACCTCAAGTGCTGGGAAAGATCTTTCTCTGCTGGGACCTGCTGCCAAGCTAGAATAGGCACTACTGAGCTAAATGGACCAGTGGTCTGACTTGGAATAAGGCAGTGTTCTATGTTCACCCAGCAGCATGTATTATGAAGCCTTCCTCTCCCAGCTTAACAGTGCTGGGATAACTCAGCAGAGTGGGGGCTAGTAGATGCAAACCACAGCATGGTGGACAGTATACGGTAGGCAGGCATCCATTTCTCTACAACTTCCAAGGCAAAGTCATCAGGCACTGAACATGGCTGCCTCTCTTTGCAGTGGGACAAGAGTACATCTGTAGGAAAGACATGCGGACAAGGCTTTGCAATTCCAACAGCATTTAATATCTTTAAAAAGCCTCTTTTTTTTAACATGGCATGGGTTCTTACCACAGCCATCCGAGAGGCAAACCTCTGCTGGCACAGGGAGTTTTTCCAAAGGTGGAAAATGCCAGGCTAGCAAGAAGGGTATTTTTGCTGCAGTTGGTCAAAGTCATAAGTGCACACCCCAAGTCTGTCGGCAAGGGAAGGAGGAGAGGGACAGTACAAAAATAAAGCTTCTCAGGGGCAAGGGTACTCAAACTCAGTCTAGCTTGATCAGGGTGTGTGGAGGACCACCTTTGGCCCCTGATCCTACTGCAAGCCAGGCACTTCCACCAGTGGAGCCCAAGTTGTCACATCAGGTGTATTCCTTTGCTACGGAAGCTGGGAAGGGCCAGTCCTGATCAAGGGAACGGCCTACTCCGCCATCCAGAGCTTGAAGGTCCTGTCGTAAGAGCATGTGGCAATCAGCTGGCCGTCCAGAGAGATATCCAAGCCCATCACTTTGCCCTCATGCCCAGCCAGGGTTTTCAGAGGGGACCAGCCTGGGTGAGTCCAGACCTTCGCTGTGTTGTCGTAGGCACCGGTGAGTAGAAAGTTGCCATGATTAGCTGAAGAGGGAAAAACAAACATACACTAAAGAAGCAGGAGTGCTCAGAAAACTGGAGCTAGGAACCCCAGTACAGTGGTTATACTGTTCCAACTTCCCACCTGGGGTCTCTCAGAGAAGGCAAAGTAGAGTGACACCTGGAACTAGCTATAGGCAGAGAAAGGGAAAGGTACAGGAACTGTGGCATGAGGTCAAGGGGGCACTCTTGAGAAGACCGTTTCAGAACTGCTGGAGCACCTTGAGGAGGAGGGGCAGCTCCCATAGAGCGCACAAAACTCCTAGGTTCTCGTTTAAACGAAAAGCAAGATTCTAGTTCAAACTGTGGCAGAGAAAAGCTTAAAGAACACTTGAGTGATCATGACTGCAGCCTGCAGCTGCATCGAGTTCCCACATGGGCCTCTCTCTACTGGTTCCTCTCGCATCCCATCACTCAGGCCCTCTCGACTGCACTGCTGTTTCCAGGTATCTCAAATTGGCCTAAGAGGTTTCCTTACAATGCTGTGGGGTCAAGTCTTCTTGACCCAGAACGAATCAAGTTTCCCTGTTCGAAGAAGTTGTTTTTAAATCCACACTCAGTTCTGGCTGCAAGGAGCAGGCGGCTGCAATGAGACTTACGTTCAAACTTCACTCCAGTCACTAGGTTCTCGTGAGCGGGGATGGTGTAGATACATTTCCTCTGGCGCAGATCCCACACTTTGCAGGTGTTGTCACCGCTGCCCGTGGCAATGTGGTACCTGCGACGGGAGAGGGGGAAATGAGCTCAGGGGCTGGAAGGAAGGGGGGGAGCATCAGTGTTCAGTGCCTTCCGGGACTGATTCTTACCCATTTGGCGAAAAGTTGATCCCGTAAATCTCCTTGAGATGACCCTCCAAGAACATGATGCAGCGTCCCGTGCGAAGGTCCCACACCCGGCCGAAGGCATCCAGGCCGCTAAAAAGTGCCAGAAAGAAGTGAAATGCTCACAGGCCCTCAAATACTTTTGATCTGGGTAAGAGGCATTCTTGGCCCTTTTTGATTCTCTGCTCTACCCCCACTGGGGGTTCCTAGACAACACCACAGGCAGCCAGAACAGCTTTCTGTGAGCAGAAGGTACTCTATGCGTTTATCACACCCTTCCTCCAAGCAGCTGAGAACAATAAATATTTCATTTATATTCCACTTGGTCTCCAATAGGGACCAACTTATATTATTCTTCTCTCCATCCTCACAACAACCCTGGGAGGTAGGTTAGAAGAAGAAAAGATTGGATTTATACCCCGCCCTTCACTACCCGAAGGAGTCTCAGAGTGGCTTACAATCTCCTTTCCCTTCCCCTCCCCACTACAGACACCCTGTGAGGTGGGTGGGGCTGAGAGAGCTCTTTTGAGAACTGCTCTTGAGAGAACAACCCTGAAATAACTTATGACTGACCCAAGGTCACACCAGCAGTTGCATGTGGAGGAGTGTGGAATCAAACCCGGTTCTCCCAGATTAGAGTCCGCGCTCCTAACCACTACACCAAACCGGCTCTCAGAATATGTGACTGATCAAGGTTACCCATTGAGCTTTCATGGCACAGTGGGGTTTTGAACCTGGGTCTCCCAGATCTAGTCTAACCACTGCACCAGATCTAGTCTAACCACTGCACCACACTGGCTGGCTGACAAAAGGTTTTTGCTAAAGCTGCATGACAAGATCCTGCAAAGCAGAACTTTGATGGGAGCTCCCCAGCAAACTATATTTAGCAAGTGTAATAGTGCTTTTGCAAGCAAGAAAGACGCAGGAGATGCCTAGATTGGTATTTACAAAGTAAAAAGAATATTTAAAAAGCATCTCTTCATGTCAAACCTTAAGGTTCAGCCACAGGAAACACCTTTCTTATTTAGCAACATTCATTCAGGGTGCAAACATTAGAATTTCTAGCCTAGTTTTTTGAGCCCACTTTTACAACACGTTAACTGGAAATTGGGGTGGGATCTTTCATGCCAGAAGCCCAGTTCTCCCTCTTTGGGAATTGTGGGGCTAGCAAAAACGAACCCCCATCTCTAGTTAGTTCTTGCTCCTTAGTCACCACTGCAAGGTTCAGTTTGCGTGCAC